CGTCGCTACCTTACAGAGATATGGTCACGCTCATCTCGTCCACCGGCGGGACGGTCATGATGGCCACTCACAGTTCGAGCTCGGCCAGAGCAGCGGTGGATGTGATCCTACGTCACCCAGACACGCAGAGGATTACAACATCCACAGTACTGCGCCCTCTGGTACCCAAGAGGACCCCTCGTCCAGCCAGCTGACTCCCCCACCGCCCCGAGATCCATTCACCACCATTACTCATTACAGGCGGCGACGTGTCAGACGGAGGGCCGACACACAGGAGGCAGAACCTTTACCCCGAATAAATGAGTCGGGCTAGTATTATCTGTTGTATTGCCTGTTATTTTGTGGAATGATGTACATAACACTTATGAAATTAATATAATAAATGTTTTTTGAATGACTCCGTGTGTGCTTTGAAGTTTAGTTCCTTATTTGTCTAAATCGGACTTATGTTAGTCAAAATAGATCATTCAAGGGTCGTGGTGGTTAATTTGGTGGTTCATGGTGGTTGGACTGTTGTTGGGGTGTTTGGAGTTTTCTGAAGTGCTTAAGGTGGACGGAACTCCCAGAAGGTGGTGGTAGGTGGTGGTCGACAGTGGTGGGACGGTAGGGGTTGGTGGTGAGGGTGGTTGTACTGTTGCGGGGAGTAGTTGGACTGTTTTAAAATGCGTAAGGGTGGTCGAAAGTGGCGGGAGGTGGTGGTCGACGGTGGTGGGACGGTAGGGGTTGGTGGTGGTTGTGGTGGTGGCTGTTTGAAGGCTGGGGGTGCTGTCTGCAGGGCAGAAATGGAGCCTGCATGCAACTGAATATTTTTTAAAAAAAGTACCAGAGCATAAAACGCTGTCTCGGACAGCGTTTTATGCTGGAAGCTTAGTTTGGTAAATAGTTTTGCCACGCAACCATTTTCGTAAATAGTTTCCGTTTAAAGCTCAATTTGGTAAAACGTCCGATTATTATTCTCTTACACTTATCTCTAATTTATAGGAAACTAATTATTTTGTATAGTTATGCTTCTAGATTTGCAATCCATTAAATGCTTATTTAAACAATATTTATATGTTTCTTTTCAAATCATTTCCTTTTTTACTCCTCAAAATATGTAAAAGTTGAATGATTTACTTTTTTTTTTCTAATTTAATGTCAAAAATTGTATTTTAACACTTCTCAAAACACATTTAATCTCATTATTTTGTTTATTATATTTAACCAACCACAAAATTGCAAAATGTTAGATTTACGGTTTGACCTTCTCTTAATAATAAGTTTTATTTTTTAAAAATAAATACATATATTTTCGTGCCAAAGCTTGCTATATTATGGTTTTGGGTTATTTTGTCCCTTTGGATTCGATTTGAGGTCAAAATTGAAAAAAATTTACTTACTCCGTTTATTTTTAGTTACACCACTTTTCTAAAACGAAAGTTTCAAATTAGTTACACGCATCACTTTTATTTTTAGTTAATATATAAATTCTCTCTCTTTCTCTCTCCTAAGTATTATCTTATATATGGGTTCTTTCAGTTTGCGATTTACAAAGTGATGCAACTAAAAAAATATAATGGAGGAAGTATTTGAAATGCCTCATTTTGCATGCTAAGAACTACCTCGGTTAGTGTGACACAAAATGAAGCATTTCCAATACTTATTTGGGTGCTTTAACCTCAAATTGATCCCAATAGCTAAAATGACCCCAAAAATCATAATAGAACAAGGTTTTGCAAAAAAATCGATAATATTTGGTTAAGGTGACGAAATCTAACCTTTTGTGTTTTTATGAAAAAACAGATGGTTAAATAAAAAAAAAAGGTTAGGGTGTGGTAATATACGATTTATCTTTTTAACTAAGTTGATTGGTCGTCGTTGCTCATGCCATGAATTAGAAGGGCTGAAGGATTAGTTAAATTCGTCCATACAACGGCATTTGATTGACGCTCGTCAATGTCTGATGATGCACTCATACGGTTAATAGAAACTCATAAGAGTTTTCTTTATCTTGTATTAAATTGCTTTGCATGCTTATCGATTATTAATAGAGTATAAAACATATTCCTGGGCATCAACCATTACCTTAACCTTTTAGTTGAATAGTTTCTCTATCATGCTATCAGAGCCAATGTGACACAAATGTTACGGGTTCGAATCTCATCCACCCCTCCTTTCAAAGTCGAATATTAAGCTAGGTATATGAGGAGGGCCCATACTGTATACACACTTCAAGCCCAACGGGCTCTCAAGCGAGAGGGCGTGATAAAGTATAAAACATATTCCTAGACTTCAACCATTACCTTAAGTTTTTGGTTGAATTGGTACTCTAACAATCATATTGGACATGATATCCCAGGAGCGAATGTTTATAGCAAATCACAACAATTAGAAACATTACAAAGATCACTAAAAGTTTTTTTTTTTATAATTTTTTTTACAAAGATTTTATATAACGAAACAGAAGCACAATATGAGAGCAAACTAATGCAAGAAAACACAAAACAACAAAGGAAACTAAAAATAAGAAAACCAAAACAAATAACAATTAAAACAACTAGAAAAGAAAATGGCGTTGACGAGCCCGAACAGCCAACCAGTGCGCTGAAGTAACCCAGAGACGAGGAACCTTACGAATCCAACAAGAATCAAATTGTAATAGAACATCTCGGATAGCCCCCAACAACCAAACACAAGAAATATCATCCGAACACGAACGACATAACATGGAAACTAGAATTGTGTTGTCCATAAAGAGTAAAGGACTAAAAAAACCTTTTCGTCTAGCAGCCTGAAGAGTCCATAAGCAAGCCTATAGTTTCGATTGTAAAGCTGACGAAGACCGACAAGCACGGGCACACCCACCAAAACAGTAGGGGAAAGCTCCTCTCTAAAAATCCAACCTGCCCCTGCAGTCTGATCACGTCTATTCTAAGCACCATCAAAGACTATACAACAATCTGCAATACCTGAATACGAGCCATGTAAACACCCATATGTAATAGGACGAGGACACGGAAACTGACGTTACCGGAAGGACGAAACAGAGCTAGAAATCGTAGCAGCCTCCGAACTACGCGAAACCCATTCTGCAGAAGTATGAAGAAATGAAGCAGGAGACCAGACCGCCTGTCTAAAAATAATTTGATTACAAGTAAGCCAAATAGCCCATAAAAGAGAGACCAAAGTGGCTAGACTATGCCAATTACGAGACTTCCCATAACCAGAAATCAACATTGTGAACCAGTGAGTAAACGAGTATACAGTTAAAGAAGTACTCTAGAGTCCCAAGGACCAATGGTCAAGAGATGAAAAACACATGAACAATCCCAAAATATATGTGAAGTCGTTTCCAAGTGATCATGACAAAGAACACAGAGGGGGTTAACATGAAGTCCCCGAGAATGCAAAGTAGCAGAGAGAGGTAAAGCATCATAAATCAATTTTCAGGAAAACATCCTCAACTTGGACATAATTGGCATTCTGATCCCCAAAAGCGTTTCCACCACGAAGTTGGAACCGGATCACTGGCCACTGACACCATCACTACAAGAACTAAGGAAATTTCCGGCGGAATAAAAGTCCGTCGGAAATATTCCGTCGCAAACAGGTGGTTTTTCCGAGGGAAATTAGTTCGTCGGAAAATTAATGAATTTCCGACGGAATTACGCATTTTCCGAGGGATATTTCCGTCGGACATTTTCCGACGGAAAAATTCCGTCGGAGACTAATATTTCCGACGGTATTTTTCCGTCGGAAAATGTTTGAACCTGGGATGACATTTCCGACGGAATATTCCGTCGGAAATTCCGTCGGAAAATGGTTATGCGCATAGGATACCAATTTCCGACGGAAAAAAGCCGTCGGAAAGTTTTTTGAGCGCGCCTTGGTTTCTCAGAAACTTTTTCCCACTTCTTTCGTCTTTCGTCTTCCTCATTCCTTTCCTCATTTCGTCTTCCTCCTTCACTCCCAACCTCCCTTACCACTAGCTCCAAGCTCGAAATCAACAACACCCATTAGCAATCCGGTAAGTGTTTTTAATGTTTATGTTTATGTTAATTTATTTGTTTAATTTTTAATATCAATAACCCCATACTTAATCCGGTTCGTTTTTCATTGATGTTCTTCGTTTTGATGCTCAAAAACGCCCATTCATGTTAATTTTTAAGTGAAATTAGGTTAGATTATGTGAAAAACGACTCAAATTATGTTTATTAGTTTAGTTTATATGTTAATTATGTTTATATGTTAGTATAATGGTTTAGTTTATTAGTTTAGTTTATATGTTAGTTTATTAGTTTAATTTATCACCAATAACATATATTATGTGAAAAACCTAACTATTATGTTAATTATGTTTATATGTTAGTTTTAGTTTAGTTTATATGTTAATTATGTTTATATGTTAGTATAATGGTTTAGTGATTTATTAGTTTAGTTTATATGTTAATTTATTAGTTTAATTTATCACCAATAACATATATTATGTGAAAAACCTAACTATTATGTTAATTATGTTTATATGTTAGTTTTATTAGTTTAGTTTATATGTTAATTATGTTTATATGTTAGTATAATGGTTTAGTGATTTATTAGTTTAGTTTATATGTTAATTTATTAGTTTAATTTATCACCAATAACATATATTATGTGAAAAACCTAACGAATTATGTTAATTATGTTTATATGTTAGTTTAATTAGTTAAGTTTATTAGTATATATAATGTATATGTTAGTTTAGTTAGTTTAGTTTAGTTTAGTATAAGGTATGTTAGTTTAGTTTGGCATAATGTATGTATGTTAGTTTAGTTTAGTTTCGTTTAGTATAATGTATGTTAGTGTAGTTTAGTTAAGTATAATGTATGTTAGTTTAGTTTAGTTTAGTATAATATATGTTACTTTAGTTTAGTATAATGTATGTATGTATGTTAGTTTAGTTTAGTATAATGTATATATGTTAGTTTAGTATTTCAATCTTCTAAAGATGTTTGAAATGAATAATACCCGTTGAAGTTAGAATCATGAAACGAAGAGAGCGGAGCTGGATGTATGATAGATTGGATGGGCGTTCTATTAAGCCTGAGTTCTTGAAAGGGGTAGAGGAATTCATACGGTTTTGCGAAGAGCATCGTGAGACTGCAAAGATTGAATATAGGTGTCCTTGTGTTAAATGCAATAACAGACGTTTTCAGGATCCGGACACAGTAAGAATTCATTTGTACAGCAAGGGATTCACTCCTCGTTATTGGGAGTGGCTTTGTCAAGGGGAAGGGTTACCTGAATCCTCAGTAGAAGGCCAGTCAAACGAATATCGTGATATGGTTATGGATGTTGTTGGTCATAATTATGATCGATCGAGTACTGAAGCTGCAGAGGAGGAGCCTAACGCTGAAGCAAAGCGTTTTCTTGATTTGTTGAAGGCGTCTGAACATCCATTGTATGAAGGGAGTTCGATGTCGGTTTTGGAGGTGGCGGCAAGAATTACTAGCTTAAAGTGTGAGTACAATTTGCCGCACAGGTGTGTCGATGGGTTCGTTTCATTGTTGACAGAAGTGATCCCTGGCAGCAGCCGTTTGGGTGAGACATTCTACGATGTTAAGATGGTTGTTAAGGGGTTGGAGCTGCCGCATGAAAAGATTCATGAATTCCCCAAGGGTTGTATGTTGTTTTGGAAAGAGGATGCTGAACTTCCTACTTGTAGAGTGTGTGGAAGTGATCGATATAATAGAACTTTTAAAGGCAGCTTGGTTCCGAAGAATGCGCTATTTTATTTCCCGATCACACCTAGGTTGCAAAGGATGTTTGCAACGAAGAACCTTTCAGAGGAAATGAGTTGGCATGCAAATAATCCTCGTGTCAAAGGCACGATGGCACACCCTAGTGACACTGAAACTTGGAGACAGCTTGATACCTGCTTCCTAGAGTTTGCCTCGGATCCACGGAATGTTCGACTAGGGTTGTGTACAGATGGTTTTGCTCCTCATGGTAAGTTCGGGGGTCAGTACTCTTGTTGGCCCGTGATTTTGACCCCATACAATTTTTCTCCCTCGATGTGTATGAAAAGACAGTTCATGTTCTTGTCACTGATAGTCCCTAGCCCCAAAAACCCGAAGGGAAATTTAGATGTGTACATGCAACCACTGATACTAGAGCTGAAACAGTTGTGGGAAGTTGGCGCAAGTACTTATGATATATCAAAGAAACAAAACTTCAACCTTAGAGCAGCCATCCTATGGACCATTAGTGACTTCCCTGCATATGGTATGTTATCTGGATGGTCTACGGATGGTAAGAAGGCATGCCCGTACTGCATGGAAAAAAGCAAGGCATTTTGGTTGCAGCATGGGGGAAAAGTTTCGTGGTTTGATTGTCATCGTCAATTTCTTCCTGTAGATCATCCTTTCCGAAAAAGTAAAACAACATTTTGCAAAAACAGAGTTGAAAAAGGCTCACCGCCGCACATCATGTCAGGGGTGGAACTTTGGGAATGTGTGAAAGACCTTCCGAGGGCCACCGATGGGCCTGAATCACTACAAGTGTTGAAAAAGGAAAATAAAGGGTGGTTCAAGCGAAGTTGCTTGTGGGAGCTTCCGTATTGGAAGCATTTGCTGATTCGTAACAACTTAGATGTCATGCACATTGAAAAAAACTTCTTTGATCAAATATTTCACACTGTAATGGATGTGAGAAGACAAACTTGTGACACACCTTCGGCCAGAAAAGACATCGCCAAATATTGTTTGCGACCACACCTTCATCTATAGACATCGCCAAATAGGGTTCGTTTTCAACGCATGAACAGTTGTAACTAGGCTATATTGGTATGTTAGTGCAAGTTATAGGTTAGTTTGATACTCAATGTGAAAAATAGGCAAGGTAGAGGCCCTTTTGGCCCCTTTTCCCTTGAAAATCACGATAACCGTCCCAAAACCTAGTGAAATGCATCTAGAGTTCGTTTTCAACGCATGAACAGTTGTAACTAGGCTATATTGGTATGTTAGTGCAAGTTATAGGTTAGTTTGATACTCAATGTGAAAAATAGGCAAGGTAGAGGCCCTTTTGGCCCATTTTCCCTTGAAAATCACGATAACCGTCCCAAAACTTAGTGAAATGCTTTTAGGGTTCGATTTCAACGCATGAACACTTGTAACTAGTCTATATTGGTATGTTAGTGCAAGGTATAGGTTAGTTTGATACTCAATGTGAAAAATAGGCAAGGTAGAGGCCCTTTTGGCCTCTTTTCCCTTGAAAATCACGATAACCGTCCCAAAACTTAGTGAAATGCATCTAGGGTTCGTTTTCAACGCATGAACACTTGTAACTAGGCTATATTGGTATTTTAGTGCAAGTTATAGGTTAGTTTGATACTCAATGTGAAAAATAGGCAAGGTAGAGGCCCTTTTGGCCCCTTTTCCCTTGAAAATCACGATAACCGTCCCAAAACCTAGTGAAATGCATCTAGAGTTCATTTTCAACGCATGAACAGTTGTAACTAGGCTATATTGGTATGTTAGTGCAAGTTATAGGTTAGTTTGATACTCAATGTGAAAAATAGGCAAGGTAGAGGCCCTTTTGGCCCATTTTCCCTTGAAAATCACGATAACCGTCCCAAAACTTAGTGAAATGCTTTTAGGGTTCGATTTCAACGCATGAACACTTGTAACTAGTCTATATTGGTATGTTAGTGCAAGTTATAGGTTAGTTTGACACTCATGTGAAAAATAGGCAAGGTAGAACACTTCTAAGGTTCGTTTTTCTCGTCAATTTTTCTGTTGATAAGAACCCTTTATTGCTGGCCTTTTTTCTCTTCAAACGTCATTATTTCTTAATATATCTCGTCAATGTTATGCAGGAAACATATCAGAAAATGGTTGAGGAATCAAGCAGTCAGGAGTCTTCCAAAAGCCAAGATGAGCTCTACTGGGAGGCAGCAGGCGGGCGTAACAAGAAAGGCCGAGTAAGGGGGCTTGGTCGAGGTGCTGAGTTGTATTATCAATCCCATTCTCGAGGATCTGGGTCCTCTCAGCAGTACCAGCCGCCGCCGTCTGTTGTGGCTGAGATCGAGGTTCGAGTGCAGGCCCAGGTACACGCTCAGTTAGAGGCTCAGTTACAGGCTCGATTTGAGGCTCAGTTACAGGCTAAAGCCGAGGCTCAGATGGCGGAACTGGAGCGGAGGAACAAAGAGATGATGGACGAGATGTTGAGTCGCATGACCGGACTCAACACTCCATTCACATGTTCCAAGATGCCGCCGCAGCCGCGAGACCCTTGGGACGACAACCCCGGTTCTGGGGGCTCTGATTCTTTTCCCGTCATGGAGCTTTCTGTTTCTTTTCCCGTACTGTACACAATTTGAGATGCAATTTAGGTTACTAATCCAAACTGAATGTAGTAATTATGATTATTAATTTATGTTGATAGTTTGCTTTATTTTCAAATGAAATTTTATTATGTTTTAAACAGGTTGCTATAGCGAACAACAGGTCAAAACAGAGGAAAAAAAAAACTAAATAGCGTTTCCGACGGAATAAATCCGCCGGAAAAGGTGGAAAGTTCCGACAGAAATAATCCGCCGGAAATTTCCGACGGAACAAATCCGTCGGAATAGCAAGGATTTTCTGACGGAATTGTTCCGTCGGAAATTTCCGGCGGATTATTTCCGTCGGAAATTTCCACCTTTTCCGGCGGATTTATTCCGTCGGAAATGTCTTACTTTCCGACGGATTTGTTGTTCCGTCGTTACTTTCCGACGGACTTTTCCAGCCCCCAGCCACCATTCTCCGACGCAATTTTTCCGTCGGAAAATGCATTGGAATTGGCATTTCCGTCGGAAATGACCTTATTTCCGACGAGGGTGTTTCCGACAGACGTTTTCCGACGACTTTCCGACGGAAATCCTCTAATTTCCGACGGATTTTTTCCGTCGGAAATAAGATTCATTCTTGTAGTGCATGGACTGGGGAATCAGCAATGCATAAGCCGATTTTGCGGAAAACTGACCATCACGTGTAAATTTCCATTAAACAAAATCATCCATCAGTTTCTGAGGGCGGTTGGCATACAAAATACGCGAAGCCTTAATATTGTCGAAAAACCGATGGACCTTAGAAGTATCCCACATGTATGAACGCAGATCAATAATAGAAGAAACATGAGTCGAAACATCCAACTCATCCAGACCAGATTTGAAGCAAACAGCCCCCCCCAACGGCCCATATATCCTCGAGGAGACGAACCTGAGTCCCCGAACCTACTTTCCATGCAATCCCTTGAGCCAGAGTGGACATACCAGCCAGAAGACCTCGACAGCCCCACGAAGACCAAAAAACCCGACTAGGCTGGAAAGACTGAAGGGAGGTGTAATCCCCATATTTTTAGAGTAAATTATAATATATTTCTTTATTATTTATACAAATATTTTATTTCGATTTCATTATATAAATTATTTTATGTAAAATTTATTTGAACTTTATAAGCTCTATTTTAAATTAAAATCCTCTTCTTATATACTAACCATAGTTTGACAATAGTGTTATAATAATAGTAGCCAAATTTTAAGTGAATAGAGCCTATTTTCATCTAACCCAACATATTGTGGCCCAAATATAAGTCATAATCCTATTAGGATTAGAAAAAGAGCTTAAACACCTAAGCCCATACTCCTTAATCCTTATAAACCCACAAACCCTTTCCCCTCACCTCACGTAAAAACCCCTGTTACTGTTTTCCCACTTCTCCTGCTTCATGATTTCACGATAAAAAAAAATAAAAAAAATTCGTCGCTGCTCAGCCACCGCTGCCCACAGTGTCGTCGCCGACCAACGCAGTTGCACCCGCATCACCCCACGACAACAGGTCGTCGTTCTTCCTCCTCCTTCCTTCTTCATTTCTCTTTTGTTAAATTGATTCAAGTTTCAATATTTATAAATTTTTTGTTCTTAAATTGTTATTGTTATGATTGGATTATGCATATGAATTGCAAAAGCTACAAATTTATGAGTTTTATTATGTTTAATTTAGTGACTTAAATTTCAGATTTATTTAATCAAGAAAATAAGGGTTTAATACTTGATTTTCATGATTTTAGGGCTTAAAAACGTGTGAGTCAAGTTATTTATATATATAGTGATTGTATTATGTTAAAATTTTATTTTTGGTGATTATAATTAATATTTAGATTTTTGTTGATTATTTTGAAGCCTCTAATTACATTGAATTGGTGAATTTTTGGGTTTAAAGCCTACTAGCTTAATCTATAATGTAGATGGTTTCAAATATTACTATAATTTTAAGATTTTATGTATAAATTAAATTTTCAGATTTTTATAAAGCTCTAAACTTGCTATAATGAATAAGTATGTATTTTAAGGTGTTTATGTAGGAAACTTTAAGAACAATATATAAGCTTTTAATTTTAGTAAAAGGGAAGGTTTTAAAGTGTTGTTTAATTGGATTTTGAAGGTTTTAAAGTAAGTTAGTATTGCTGTAAATTTAATTGCTTGAGTATTGATTGAATTATTGTTGTTTGGTTTAAGAGAGGACTTCGTAGAAGACGATTTCTAGTTTCTAAAGTGGCCAACCAATTCGTTTACTCAAAATACGTACAAGGATACGAAAAACCTTGACTTTAGGAGCATGTTTAAGGATTTGGAAAACTTAGAATCATGATTAGGAAACTTATGCTTGGTTGAAATTGTTTGGTAATAAATCTCTTTGGTATTATTGCTTGAATGTGCATAATTTATCACTTTATGTATGTTAAGTTATCTTGTAAGTAATTTTATATGCATTAACTTGCAAGAAGAACTTGGAGGCAAAAATACATGAGCATGTGGATTGAATTATTATTATTATTTGTTCATGATTATTGAAATGGAATGAGTAAAGGAAGAATTGAAGTCTTATAAGACGAGGTTGAGAATTTGAGGTGCCTTATGCACTTAAGGTGTTTATACACCGAGGTAGTTTAAAGAATTCAATACTAAATGTTGTTTGTCACTACTAATTCAAGAATTAAATTGGAAATTGAACTTGCTTGAATGATTAATGCGTGATTGGTTGTATTACTTTTGTAAATGAGTCACCACCAAGTTTAAACCTATAACTCACGTAAAGTGCATGATGGATGAGGAATAAAAATCTAGATTTGTGCACATCTAGAATAATGACAAACAAGGGTTGGGGTACACAGGGTATTAGCCGTGCACTTTTCTAGAGGCCGTCTGATCTACGAGTCTTTTGTTTTCAAATACTTTTTAAAACTATAAAGAGTTAGATGAGATCTCATACTAGCTATGGCCACGGAGTCGTGCCCGTCTGCCATTGGATGTTTATTGATGTTTCCGAAAGGAGGCATGGGGTTTTTCTTTTATTGATGTTCCAAATTGGAGCATGGGGAGACAACCTTGTCTATTGCTTAATCCAATGAATAAAATGAAATGAAGTAATCAGTACTAATTAGAGAAGTCTTAGTAATGTTAACAGTTGAGTCATGTGTTTGGGTCAATAATTAAACTGTTGTGTGTTGATTGATAATTAGTAGCATGCTAGGAATTCTTTGTTATACTTCATAGCTTGTATGTACTCAGCGTTGCTGATTGCGTGCATTTGTGTGTCTTTCTTGGTCATGTTTTTCTCCTTTTGATGACCCTGTAATGATCCAATCTTTACACTTGTAATATTAGGGAACAGACTTATCACAAGTGTTTACATAGTTTGGACTTGCATCAAGGTGATGGGATTTTGAGTGGAGAGTTGGTTATTGATTGCAGTTTATTACTTTTCATAAGTTTGAAATTTAAACTCTGCTTTGGTTTATTTAATACTTCATTTTATTGGGTTTTGAATAAGGGCCTTAATGTTTCCAACTTGTAAGACTTAATTTGGTTTTGTTCGTTGGTTTTAAAACTTATTTATAACTGAGTTAGTTTTTCCGCTGCTAAATTCTGAATTAGACTTAACGTTTGAACACGTGGCGGCAACACGTCGGTTATTCTCTTGCATTTTATTAAAGGTATTTACAGGTTTAAGAGAGAATTATTGGGGTGTTACAGGAGGAATACTTTGCCGATAACACACGCGAAACTAGGAGCTGAGGATGCCGATATATAAGCCAACTCTGCCTGGCAAGCAGGGCAGAATTAAAGCTCTGCTTACTACGGAGCCCTAGTCCGCCCAAGCCCTTAGGAAGATAAAGCAGAAAAGAAGAGCGAAGGGTCATCCCCCGAGATGAAGATGAGGAACGCCACCAGAAACGAGCAAGCATTCGATCAACATGTTGACAAATCGAAGAGGGGATCTGAAACACGGACAAAATATGATTGAACGATGCAACAAGAACTGAATTGATAATCACTAACTTAGCAGCTGAAGAAATTCGAAGAGAAGTGAAATCAGAATGACGCTTTGACACTTTATCTACCAGGAAACAAAACTCCGAAACTTTACTCATCCCCAAATCAACGAGCAATCCCAAATAAGAATCCAAAGAATCCCTACATTGAAGCGGCAAACTACAAGCCAAATAATCTGAAGGAGTGTTCTGACTGAATTTAACAAAGGACTTCTGCAGATTGATCATCTGACCAGACATACCACAAAATCCAAAAGAAGGCCCATTAGATTATCACAAGCAGATGGAGACACTTGGAAGTACAATAGGGAATCGTCTACAAAGAACAAATGTGAAATAGAAGGCGCTCCTCGCGAAATACAAATGCCTCTGAGTAACGACTGCTCCTCCGCACTGCGTAACATGGTAGAAGAACTTCCATACAGAGAACAAACAAGTACGAAGAAAGCGGATCACCCTGCCAAGACCACACTGTGTAAGAAAGGTGGAAGACAGATCCCCATTGACCAACACCTAATAAGAGACTGTAGAGACGCACTGGTGTATAATATGTATCCAGTATGGAGGAAAGCCAAAGACCTTTAAAACATGAAGTAAAAAATCCAAGCGAACCCGAGCATAAGCCTTATTCATGTCCAATTTCAAAGCAGCATAAAACTGTTTCCTAGCCCTAGAAACATTCATGAACGAGAGAAGTTCATGGGCAATTAGAGCATTGTCTGACATAAGACGTCCTGGAACAAATGCATTCTGGCAATCAGAAACCAAAGAAGGTAAGTCAAGACGGAGCTGACCAGTAATACATTTGGCGATGCACTTGTAAAGAACGTTACAAAGACCAATAGGACGAAACTGCGTAACAAGCTCCGGACTGTGAACCTTGGGAAGCAGAGTTAAGAAAGTACTCCTTCTGCATATAGCCATGAGTAAAAAAATACTGAACTGCTCCAACCACCAAAGAACCGACCAACTGTCAATGAATCTTGAAAAAAGCCGAAGAAAAA